CACAGAGCATCCCGCTCCCAGCCCTGATTCCCCGCCGGATCCCGAAGCAGCATCCACAGATCTGGTGCCGGCCGCATCCCGGCGGCAGAACTGGGCCCGTTTCTCCTGCGGAGGCCGGGATGAGAAGCAGCCGCTTCCTGCCAAAGCTTCCCAGGATCCGGTGGATGCCGGAGAGCCGGATCCTGCCGTTGGCATTGAGCATCCCGGCAAGGCCGACGTGGAGGATGCGGTGGTGTTGAACGGCTCCGGGGAGCTGGGGATTCCCGGTAGGAATCCCGGGCATGGAGCCTACCTGCAGAGCTTGGAGCGGAGCAGCCGGCACTGGGTGCTGTCATCCCTGAAGATTCCAGGTTTGGATGAGCCGGGAGCTGGAGCCGAGGTGGATCCCGGCGCTGCCGGCAACGAGGGGGACATCTGGTACAACCCCATCCCGGAGGATGAGGATCCGCAGCCTGGGAGCACCGGGAGGAAAAGTGGGAGCCGCGATGGGGACAGGGAAGAGCCCGCCTGGGATGCGTTGGGAATGGGGGAGAGCTCCGGAGCCCGCAGCACCGAGGAGCTGGGACGGACACAGCCTGGTGGTGAGGAGACCTGGGACCCACAGCCCGGGTCCTGCTCTCTTGGGCACCCATTTTTTTGGGGCTGGGCACCCACCTTATGGGGTTGAGCACCCACTTTTTAGTGCTGGGTACCCAGTTGGATGGTGGGAACGTGTTTTGGGTACCGGGCACCCGCTTTTTGGTATTGAGCACCCACTTTTTGGTGCTAGGCACCCTCTTTCTGGTATTGGACATCGACTTTTTGGTGTTGGGCACCCACTTTTTGGTGCTAGGCACCCACTTTTTGGTATTGGACACCGACTTTTTGGTGTTGGGCACCCACTTTTTGGTGCTAGGCACCCACTTTTTGGTATTGGACACCGACTTTTTGGTGTTGGGCACCCACTTTTTGGTGCTAGGCACCCAGTTTGATGTTGAGAACCCACTTTGGGCACTGGGCACCCGCTTTTTGGTATTGGCCACCCACTTTTTGTGCTTGGCACCCACTTTTTGATGTTGGGCACACATTTTTCTCACTGGGCACCCACTTTTTGGTGCTGGGCACCCGCTTTTTGGTATTGAGCACCCACTTCTTGGTGCTAGGCACCCACTTTCTGGTATTGGACACCGACTTTTTGGTGTTGGGCACCCACTTTTTGTGCTGGGCACCCACTTTTTGATGTTGGGCACATGTTTTTGTCACTGGGCACCTACTTTTTGGTGCTGGGCACCCACTTTTTAGTGTTTGGCACCCACTTTTTGATGTTGGGCACATGTTTTTGTCACTGGGCACCCACTTTTTGACGTTGGGCACCCAATTTGATGCTGGACACCTACTTCTTAGTGCTGGGCACACACTTTTTGGAGTTGGACACACACTTTTTGATGTTGGGCACCCAGTTCTAGTGCTGGGCACTCCTTGTTATTGGGCACCCACTTTTTGATGTTGAGCACCCACTTTTTAGAGCTGAACACCCACTTTTTGGTGTTGGGCACCCAATTTTAGTGCTGAGTACCCACTTCTTGTTATTGGGCACCCAACTGGGCACCTGCTTTTTGGTGTTGGGCACCCACTTTTTGGTGTTGGGCACTCAGTTTTACTGCTGAGCACCCACTTGTTATTGGGCACCCAACTGGGCACCCGCTTTTTGGTGTTGGGCACCCACTTTTTGGTGTTGGGCACCCAATTTTAGTGCTGAGTACCCACTTTTTGGTGTTGGGCACCCAATTTTAGTGCTGAGTACCCACTTTTTGGTGTTGGGCACTCAATTTTACTGCTGAGCACCCACTTGTTGTTATTGGGCACCCAGTTTGGCACTGGGCACCCAGTTTTGCTATTGGGCACCCGTGTTTTGTGGGTGAGGGTGTCCTCAAGACCCACAGACACTGTCCCCGCTCCATAGCATGTCCCCATCCCCTGCATTCCCCATCCCCTTCTCCACATCCCAACCCCACCCCATCCCAAGGACCCTTCCTGTTGCCCTTCCCAGCCCCACTCACCCCTTTCCCCTTGGCACAGGGAAGGCCCCCACCACCCCATCACCTCCCGCCAGCCCCACCAAGAGCCGGGCCCTGCAGAAGGTGAAGTCCCCGGGCACCGTTCGCCGCCTCTCCATGAAGATGAAGAAGCTTCCAGAGCTCCGGAGGAAGCTGAGCCTCCGGAATCCCCGCTCCCGAGGCCACGAGGAGGGAGCATCCCCCTCCGAGAGGAAGGAATCCAGCAACGTCATCAGCCGCTACCACTTGGACACCAGCGTGGCGTCGCCGCGGGCCAAACCCCCCCCCAGAGGTGGCTACTTGAGCGATGGAGACTCCCCGGAGCTTCCGATGAAGGCCAAGCCCCACTGCGACGCGGACGAGGTGGATCTAGGGCTGGATGTGGGTGCTTTCCACCCTTACAGCAGTGGGGAGGCGCCACCCCGCTGCGGACAGCACATCTCCGGCTTGGTGAGCGTCCACCTCCACGGCGTGAAGGACCTGAAGCCACCCCGAGGGGACGGGCGCGAGGTCTTCTGCGTGCTGCAGGTGGACGCGGCCAAGCGGGCGCGCACGGCGCTGCTGGCCTGCAAGACGGGCTGTCTGGGTCTCAACCATACCTTCAACCTGGAGCTGGAGGGCGCTCAGCACCTCAAGGTCATGGTGTTCTCTTGGGATGCCACCTCCTGCCGCAACCGCCTCTGCTGCCACGGCACCGTGGTGCTGCCCCACATCTTCCGCGGTGAGCATGGGGATGAGAGCTTGGGGGGGGGGGTGTTGGATGCTTGGGGGTGAGCTTGATGGCAACGTTGGGCTCTGCAGGGTGCCGTGCCCAGCAGTTGGCTGTGAGGTTGCAACCACGGGGCGTCCTCTACTCCAAGTTCACCTTGGTGGAGCAATGGGACTGTCCCAGTGAGCAGGAGCCGCGCGTCTTCGGCGTGGAACTGGGTAAACTGGTGGAAAGGGAGAAGACGGCCACCAAAGTGCCTTTGATCATCCAGAAGTGCGTGGCTGAGATAGAGAAACGTGGCCTGAAGGTGAGTCCTGCTCAGGGGTGCTGCTTGGAGGGGGGTTTGGGGGAGGGATCCCCCCCAAACTGGTGTCTGGTGGTGGTTGTGGGGGAGGAACGCACCCAAACTGGTGTCTGGTGGTGGTGGTTGTGGTGGAGGAACGCACCCAAACTGGTGTCTGGTGGTGGTTGTGGGGGAGGAACGCACCCAAACTGGTGTCTGGTGGTGGTTGTGGTGGAAGAATGCACCCAAACTGGTGCCCATATCAGTTAAAGGGGGTTTGGTGGAGGAATGCACCCCAAACTGGTGTCCCCATAGTGGTTGTGGTGCTTGAACCCCTCCCACCCCCATCCTGGTCTATACTGGTGTCCCCATGCAGGTGGTTGTGTTGAAACCCCCCATACTGGTCTATACTGGTATCCCCACACAGGTGCTAGTAGTTGAACCTCCCCATACTGGTCTATGCTGATGTCAGCATGCAAGTGATGGTGGTTGACCCCTCCTATACTGGTCTATACTGGTCTCTACCGGAGTCCCTGTGCAGGTGGTGGTGGTTGAGCCCCCCCATACTGGTCTCTACTGGTGTCCCCTGCAGGTGGTGATGGTTGAACCCTCCCATACTGGTCTATACTGGTGTCCCCATGCAGGTGGTGGTGGTTGAACCCCTCCCTACTGGTCTCTACTGGTGTCCCCATGCAGGTGGTGGTGGTTGAACCCCTCCATACTGGTCTGTACTGGTCTCTCCTGGTGTCCCCATGCAGGTGGTGGTGTTTGAACCCCCCTATACTGGTCTATGCTGGTCTCTACTGGTGTCCCCATGCAGGTGGTGGTGGTTGAACCCCTCCATAGTGGTCTGTACTGGTCTCTCCTGGTGTCCCCATGCAGGTGGTGGTTCAACCCCCCTATACTGGTCTATGCTGGTCTCTACTGGTGTCCCCATGCAGGTGGTGGTGTTTGAACCCCCCTATACTGGTCTATGCTGGTCTCTACAGTGTCCCCATGCAGGTGGTGGTGGTTGAACCCCTCCATACTGGTCTGTTCTGGTCTATACTGGTGTTCCCATGCAGGTAGTGGTGGTTGAACCCCTCCATAATGGTCTATACTGGTCTGTACTGGTCTCTGCTGGTGTTCCCATGCAGGTGGTGGTGGTTGAACCCCTCCATAATGGTCTATACTGGTCTGTACTGGTCTCTCCTGGTGTCCCCATGCAGGTGGTGGTAGTTGAACCTCCCTATACTGGTCTATGCTGGTCTCTACTGGTGTTCCCATGCAGGTGGTGGTGGTTGAACCCCCCCCATACTGGTCTCTACTGGTCTGTACTGGTCTCTCCTGGTGGTGTGAACCCCTCCATACTGGTCTCTACTGGTCTCTCCTGGTGTCCCCATGGTGGTGGTGGTTCAACCCCCTATACTGGTCTATGCTGGTCTCTACTGGTGTTCCCATGCAGGTGGTGGTGGTTGAACCCCCCCCATACTGGTCTCTACTGGTCTGTACTGGTCTCTCCTGGTGTCCCCATGCAGGTGGTGGTGGTTGAACCCCTCCATACTGGTCTATACTGGTCTCTCCTGGTGTCCCCATGCAGGTGGTGGTGGTTGAACCCTCCCATACTGGTCTATACTGGTCTCTCCTGGTGTCCCCATGCAGGTGGTGGTAGTTGAACCTCCCTATACTGGTCTATGCTGGTCTCTACTGGTGTTCCCATGCAGGTGGTGGTGGTTGAATCCTCCCATACTGGTCTATAACTGGTCTATACTGGTCTGTACTGGTCTCTGCTGGTGTTCCCATGCAGGTGGTGGTGGTTGAACCCTCCCATACTGGTCTATACTGGTCTCTCCTGGTGTCCCCATGCAGGTGGTGGTGGTTGAACCCCTCCATACTGGTCTATACTGGTCTGTACTGGTCTCTGCTGGTGTTCCCATGCAGGTGGTGGTGGTTGAATCCTCCCATACTGGTCTATACTGGTCTCTACTGGTGTCCCCATGCAGGTGGTGGTGGTTGAATCCTCCCATACTGGTCTATACTGGTCTCTCCTGGTGTCCCCATGCAGGTGGTGGTGGTTGAATCCTCCCATACTGGTCTATACTGGTCTCTACTGGTGTCCCCATGCGGGTGGTGGTGGTTGAACCCTCCCATACTGGTCTCTACTGGTCTATACTGGTGTCCCCATGCAGGTGGTGGGCCTGTACCGGCTGTGTGGCTCAGCTGCAGTGAAGAAGGAGCTCCGCGATGCCTTCGAGCGGGACAGCGCAGCCGTGACGCTCTCGGAGCACCTCTACCCCGACATCAACGTCATCACGGGTGGGTGCCACCCTATGGGTGCCCCTCAGCTCCCATGGCCCACCCTGACGGCCCCATGGGGGGCGGTCCTCTTGCCATAGGGATCCTCAAGGATTACCTACGGGAGCTGCCCACGCCGCTCATCACCCCGACGCTCCACCGTGTGGTGCTGGAGGCCATGACCAAGAGGCCCCCGCGGGTGGCACCGGGGCAGCAGGATGCGGTCACCCTGCTGGAGTGTCTGCCCGACGTGGAGAAGGTGGGTGCTCAGCGCCAAAGGGGGTGCTCGGCATCAAATGTGGGGGGCCCGGTGCCGAAAAGCGGGTGCGAAGCAACAGAAAGCTGGGTGCCCAGGGCCTAGGTGGGGGCCTAACGCCAAGAAGTGGGTGCCCACCATCAAGAAGTGGATGCCCAGTGCCAGAAAGTAGGTGTCCAGAACCAAATTGGGTGCCCAGCATCAGAAAGTGGGTGCTCAGTGTCAAGAAGTGGGTGGCCAGCACCAAAAGGTGGGTGCCCACCATCAAGAAGTGGATGCCCAGTGACAAAAAGTAGGTCTCCAGAACTAAATTGGGTGCCCAGTATCAAAAAGTGGGTGCCCAGAACCAAATTGGGTGCTCTGTGTCAAAAAGTGGGTGCTCAGTGCCAAAAAGTAGGTGTCCAGAACCAAATTTTTGATGCCCAACATCAAAAAGTGGGTGACCAACATCAAAAAGTGGGTGGCCAGCACCAAAAGGTGGGTGCCCACCATCAAGAAGTGGATGCCCAGTGCCAAAAAGTAGGTCTCCAGCACCAAATTGGGTGCCCAGTATCAAAAAGTTGGGTGCCCAGAACCAAATTGGGTGCCCAACATCAAAAAGTGGGTGTCCAGTGTCAAGAAGTGGGTGATCAGTGCCAAAAAGTAGGTGTCCAGAGCCAAATTTTTGATGCCCAACATCAAAAAGTTGGGTGACCAACATCAAAAAGTAGGTTCCCAGCACCCAAAAGGGGGTTCCCATCACCATAAAGTGGGCTCCCATCACCATAAGGTGGGTTCCCAGCACCCAAAAGTGGGCTCCCAGGACCATGAAGTAGTTTCCCAGCACCCAAAAGTAGGTTCCCAGCACCGTAAAGTAGGTTCTCACACACTGAAATGGGTTCCCAACACCCAAAATTGTGTTCCCAGCACCATAAGGTGTGTTCCCAGCACCCAAAAGTGGGTTCCCAGCACCATAAAGTGGGTGCCCAGCACCCAAAAGTAGGTTCCCAGCACCATAAGGTGTGTTCCCAGCACCATAAAGTGGGTGCCCAGCACCATAAAGTGGGTGCCCAGCACCCAAAAGTAGGTTCCCAGCACCATAAGGTGTGTTCCCAGCACCATAAAGTGGGTGCCCAGCACCCAAAATTAGGTTCCCAGCACGCAAAAGTAGGTTTCCAGCACCCAAAATTAGGTTCCCAGCACCCAAAAGTAGGTTACCAGCACCATAAAGTGGGTGCCCAGCACCCAAAAGTAGGTTCCCAGCACCATAAGATGTGTTCCCAGCACCATAAGGTGGGTGCCCATCACCCAAAAGTAGGTTCCCAGCACCATAAGGTGGGTGCCCAGCACCATAAATTAGGTTCCCAGCACCATAAGGTGGGTGCCCAGCACCATAAATTAGGTTCCCAGCACCATAAGGTGGGTGCCCAGCACCATAAAGTAGGTTCCCAGCACCATAAGGTGGGTGCTCAGCACCATAAAGTGCTTTCCGTGTCCCTCAGGCCACCCTGACACGGCTCCTGGACCACCTGAGCCTGGTGGCCTCGCACCACGACCTGAACCGCATGAACCCCCAGAACATCGCCGTGTGCTTCGGGCCGGTGCTGCTCACCCCGAGCCGTGGCACCGGCACCCACAGCAGCACCCACAGCAGCACCCAGAGCCAGGACATGGCCAGCGCCGTGGACTTCAAGAGGCACATTGAGGTGCTGCACTACCTGCTGCAGGCCTGGCCGGGTAAGTGGGGTCACCCCCCATATGGCTGCTTTTGGGGTGCCCCCCGTTCCCAGTAGCTGATCCAGTGTCCCCATTCCCAACTAAAGCTCCATGCCCCCCCTTTGTCACCTCCAGTAATGGGTGCGCCCATTCCCAGGCCCCCCACATCCAACATCTCTCTTGGGGTCCCCCTAATTCCTGCTGCTCAGTGCCCCCCATTCCCAGTAACTGATCCAGTGCCTCCATCCCCACACAATTCCCATGACCCCCATTTCCCCCCCAATTCCCATTGCCTATTCCCACCAGTGTTCCCATCCCCATGCCCCCCATTTTCCCCCATTGCCTGTTACCACCAGTGTCCCTATCCGCATGACCCCCCTTTTCGTCACATTCCCAGCTCCCATTCCCACCTCTGCACCCATCCCCCTGCCCCCCTTTCCCTCCCCATTCCCAGCTCCCATTCCCACCTGTGCCCCCATCCCCATTGCCCCCCATTCCCAGCTCCCATTCCCACCTGTGCCCTAATCACCCCCATTCCCAGCTCCCATTCCCACCAGTGCCCTCATCCCCATTCCCCCCCCATTCCCAGCTCCCATTCCCACCAGTGGCCCCCTCACCCCCATTCCCAACTCCCATTCCCACCTGTGCCCCCCTCACCCCCATTCCCCCCCATTCCCAACTCCCATTCCCACCTGTGCCCCCCTCACCCCCATTCCCCCCCATTCCCAGCTCCCATTCCCACCTGTGCCCCCATCCCCATTCCCCCCCATTCCCAGCTCCCATTCCCACCTGTGCCCCCATCCCCATTCCTCCCCCATTCCCAGCTCCCATTCCCACCTGTGCCCCCATCCCCATTCCCCCCCCCATTCCCAACCCCCATTCCCACCAGTGCCCCCCTCACCCCCATTCATTCCCCCCCATTCCCAACTCCCATTCCCACCAGCTCCCATTCCCACCTGTGCCCCCATCCCCATTCCCCCCATTCCCAGCCCCATTCCCACCTGTGCCCTAATCACCCCCATTCCCAGCTCCCATTCCCACCAGTGTCCCCATCTCCCCCATTCCCAGCTCCCATTCCCACCAGTGCCCTCATCCCCATTCCCCCCCCATTCCCAGCTCCCATTCCCACCAGTGCCCCCCTCACCCCCATTCCCAACTCCCATTCCCACCAGTGTCCCCATCTCCCCCATTCCCAGCTCCCATTCCCACCTGTGCCCCCATCCCCATTCCCCCCCCATTCCCAACCCCCATTCCCACCAGTGTCCCCATCTCCCCCATTCCCAACTCCCATTCCCACCAGTCTCCCCATCACCCCCATTCCCCCCCCCATTCCCACCTGTGCCCCCCTCACCCCCATTCCCCCCCATTCCCAACTCCCGTTCCCACCTGTGCCCCCCTCACCCCCATTCTCCCCCCATTCCCAGCTTCCATTCCCACCTGTGCCCCCATCCCCATTGCCCCCCCATTCCCAGCTCCCATTCCCACCTGTGCCTTAATCACCCCCATTCCCAGCTCCCATTCCCACCAGTGCTCTCATCCCCATTCCCCCCCCATTCCCAGCTCCCATTCCCACCAGTGTCCCCATCTCCCCCATTCCTAGCTCCCATTCCCACCTGTGCCCCCATCCCCATTCCCCCCCCATTCCCAACCCCCATTCCCACCAGTGTCCCCATCTCCCCCATTCCCAACTCCCATTCCCACCTGTGCCCCCCTCACCCCCATTCCCCATATTCCCAGCTCCCATTCCCACCTGTGCCCCCATCCCCATTCCCCCCCATTCCCAACTCTCATACCCACCAGTCTCCCCATCACCCCCATTCCCCCCCCATTCCCACCTCTGCCCCCCTCACCCCCATTTCCCCCCATTCCCCCCCATTCCCAGCTCCTATTCCCACCTGTCCCCCCATTTCCCCCCCATTCCCACCTGTGCCCCCCTCACCCCCATTCCCCCCCATTCCCCCCCCATTCCCACCCGTGCCCCCCTCACCCCCATTCCCCCCCATTCCCCCCCATTCCCAGCTCCCATTCCCACCTGTCCCCCCATTTCCCCCCCATTCCCACCCGTGCCCCCCATTCCCCCCCATTCCCCCCTATTCCCCCCATTCCCAGCTCCCATTCCCACCTGTCCCCCCATTTCCCCCCCATTCCCACCCGTGCCCCCCATTCCCCCCCATTCCCCCCCATTCCCACCATTCCCCCTCTCTGCTCCACAGCGCCCCCCCGAGCGCCGCGGCTACGCCTGGAACTGCCGGAGGCGGCGGTCGTGGCCCGGCCCCGGCCCCGCGGCCCCGAGAGCCCCCCAAGTAACCGGTACGCGGGGGACTGGAGCGTGTGCGGCCGCCAGCTCCTGCTGCTGCCCGGGGCCAGCGGCACCGGGACCCCCGGGCACGGGGACCCCGGCGGGGGGGGGACGACCCCTTTCGGGCTGCGGGAGGAGCCCCGGCTCAACCTGAAGGACTTCGATGCGCTCATCCTGGACCTGGAGAGGGAGCTGGGGCAGCAGATCAACGTGTGCCTGTGAGCGCGGCACCGGTGGCGCTGGTGACGGCGGCACTGGTGACACTGGACACTGGTGACGGCGGTGACAACAGACACCGGTGACAGCGGCACTGGTGATAGCAGCACTGGTGATAGCAGCACTGGTGACACTGGACACTGGTGACGGCGGTGACAACAGACACCGGTGACACTGGTGATGGTGGCACTGGTGACACTGGACACCGGTGACGGCGGCACTGGTGACAGTGGTGGCAACAGACACCGGTGACGGCGGCACTGGTGACAGAGGTGGCAACAGACACTGGTGATGGCGGCACTGGTGACATCAGACACTGGTGACAGTGGTGGCAACAGACACCGGTGACAGCAGACAGTGGTGACAGTGGTGGCAACAGACAGCAGTGACACTGATGACAGTGGTGACAGCAGACACTGGTGACAGCGGACAGCGGTGACAGCAGTGACAACAGACACCGGTGACAGTGGCACTGGTGATAGCAGCACTGGTGACACCGGACACTGGTGATGGCGGTACTGGTGACAGTGGCACTGGTGACACCGGACACTGGTGACAGTAGCACTGGTGACACTGGATACTGGTGACAGTGGTGACAACAGACACTGGTGACACTGGACACCGGTGACAGCGGTGTCATCAGACACTGGTGACAGTGGTGGCAACAGACACCGGTGACAGCAGACAGTGGTGACAGTGGTGGCAACAGACAGCAGTGACACTGATGACAGTGGTGACAGCAGACACTGGTGACAGCGGACAGCGGTGACAGCGGTGACAACAGACACTGGTGACAGTGGCACTGGTGATAGCAGCACTGGTGACACCGGACACTGGTGATGGCGGTACTGGTGACAGTGGCACTGGTGACACCGGACACTGGTGACGGCGGTACTGGTGACAGTAGCACTGGTGACAGCGGCACTGGTGACACTGGATACTGGTGACAGTGGTGACAACAGACACTGGACACCGGTGACAGTGGCAGTGGTGACGACAGACACTGGTGACGGCAGTGACAGCGGCACTGGTGACAGTGGTGGCAACAGACACCAGTGATAGCGGTCACCAGTGACAGCAGACACTGGTGACAGCAGTGACAGCGGACAGCGGTGACAACAGACACCAGTGACAGTGGCACTGGTGATAGCAGCACTGGTGACACCGGACACTGGTGATGGCAGTACTGGTTACAGTGGCACTGGTGACAGCGGCACTGGTGACACTGGACACTGGTGACAGCGGTGACAACAGACACTGGTGACACTGGACACCGGTGACAGCGGTGACAACAGACACTGGTGACACTGGACACCGGTGACAGCGGCACTGGTGACAACAGACACTGGTGAGGGCAGTGACAGCGGACACTGGTGACAGTGGCACTGGTGACAGTGGTGGCAACAGACACCAGTGACAGCGGACACTGGTGACAGCGGACACTGGTGACAGCGATCACAACAGACACCGGTGACAGCGGACACTGGTGACAGCAGTGACAACAGACACTGGTGACACCGGACACTGGTGATGGTGGTGACAACAGACACCGGTGACAGCGGACACTGGTGACAGTGGCACTGGTGACGGTGGTGACAACAGACACTGGTGACAATGGACACGTGACAATGGACACTGGTGACAGCGGCACTGGTAACAGCAGACACCGGTGACAGTGGACACTGGTGACAGTGACACAGGTGACAATGGACACTGGTGACAGTGACATGGGTGACAATGGACACATGACAATGGACACTGGTGACAGTGACACGGGTGACGATGGACACTGGTGACAGTGACATGGGTGACAATGGACACATGACAATGGACACGTGACAATGGACACTGGTGACAGGGGTGACAACAGACACTGGCACTCGTGACAAGGGACACTGGTGATAATGGACACTGGTGACAGCGATACTGGTGACAACAGACACTGCTGACAATGACACCAGTGACAGCACTGGTGACAATGACACTGGTGACAATGGACACCAGTGACACTGGCACGAGTGACAACAGACATCAACATCAGTGACAGTGCCAACAGACACCGGTGACACTGACATTGGTGACAGTGCCAACAGACACTGGTGACAATGCCAAGACCATTGACAGTGATGACACTGGTGATGATGCCACCAGACACCAGTGACAATGCCAATACTGGTGACAACGATGACACTGGTGATGATGCCACCAGACACCTGTGACAATGCCAGTACCGGTGACAGTGATGACACCGGTGATGATGCCACCAGACACCAGTGACAATGCCAATACTGGTGACAGTGATGACACGAGTGATGATGCCACCAGACACCAGTGACGATGCCAATACCGGTGACAGTGATGACACCCTTGATGATGCCACCAGACACCAGTGACAATGCCAATACTGGTGACAGTGATGACACCGGTGATGATGCCACCAGACACCTGTGACAATGCCAGTACTGGTGACAGTGATGACACCGGTGATGATGCCACCAGACACCAGTGACAGTGCCAAGACCATTGACAACGATGACACCAGTGATGATGCCACCAGACACCAGTGACAATGCCAATACCGGTGGCAACGATGACACCAGTGACGATGCCACCAGTGACAATGCCAGTACCGGTGACAGTGATGATACTGGTGATGATGCCACAAGACACCAGTGACAATGCCAGTACCGGTGACAGTGATGACACTGGTGATGATGCCACCAGACACCAGTGACAATGCCAATACCGGTGAGTGATTGCACCAGTGATGATGCCACCAGACACCAGTGACAATGCCAAGACCATTGACAACGATGCCACCAGTGACGATGCCACCAGTGACAATGCCAATACCGGTGACAACGATGACACCAGTGATGATGCCACCAGACACCAGTGACAATGCCAAGACCATTGACAATGATGACACCAGTGATGATGCCACCAGTGACAATGCCCATACCAGTGACGATGACACCAGTGACGATGCCACCAGTGACGATGCCACCAGTGACAATGATGCCACCGGTGATGATGCCACCAAACAGCAGCACTTGCCTGGAGTTGCCTTCGATTTGCACAGCACGGAGCAGGAGGGACCCGATGGTGACACCGATGCCACCAGGGCTGAGGTGGGGACCCCCCCACCCCCCCATCTGGGGCGGGGGGGGGGGGGGTCAGAGGAAGGATTCGGGGCCTCCTTTGGCTCTGGTTTGGTTGGAGATGGCCCAAGTGCCTTTTTATCCCCTTGTCCCCCCACCTTGGGGCCCTCCCCACAGTTGTGTCCCCCCCCCAAGCCATCAGTATTAGGGACTATTGACAAGGGTCCATGACTGCCTTTTGCACCTCATGAATGGTGATGGGGCACCCCCATATCGCCCACCCCCAGCTGGGTGACAATGGGGACCCCCCCCCCTCCATTGGGACCCTTGTCCACCCCCCCCCCAGCCCCCCAACCCCATCAGTATTAGGGACTATTGACAAGGGTCCATGACCTCCCTGGCTCAGTCCCCCCAGCCCCCCTTTTGCACCCCAAAAAGGGTTCTAGGACACCCCTATGTCACCCAAACCCAGCTTGGGTGGCAATGGGGACCCCCCCACCCCCCATTTTCCAGTCCCCCCTCACAGTGGGGGCAGCCGGTACAGGGTGGGGGGGCTCAGCTTTATTTATTGCACCATCACCACAGCCTCTTTGCACCCCCAAAATAGACCCATTGACAGTGTTACGGGGGGGACCCCAAAATCCTCTCCCCCATCCCTTCCACCCCATTACCAGTATTATGGGGGGGACCCCAAAATACACACCCCCCCCCCCCAAAGCCTTGCTCAGTATTAGCCTTAAAGGAACCAGCTCAATGTGAAGCCACCAGGGTTAGTGCCTGGGGTGGGGTGGGGGGACACCCACAAAGGTGTCCCCTGTGTGTTGTCCCCCCCCCCACCAAGGGTGGCCTGACCCCCCCTTATCCTGCCACTGCCTTGTCACTGTCACCAGCAATAAATGACACAAGCTGCACTTGCCACCGGGCTCTGTGTACGGTGGCATCTAAAGGGGGGGTTATATGGGGGGGACACTGATATGGGGGTGACATTGATATGGGGGGGACATCGATAAGGGGGGGACATCGATAAGGGGGGGGCACAGTGCCCAAAGTGTCACTTTGGGTGTCCCCGAGGCGTTGGCACCCAAATGATGACGGGGATATGGCTGTCCCCAAACCCACCCCATGGGGACACTGTGGGGATGGGGGGGGGCAAGGATGAGGCTGGCCTCAGCGTCACCCAAACCCATCCCATGGGGCCACTTTGGGGCCATTTTCAGGCCATTCGGGGACCACTTTGAGGTCACTTTAGCAGCACTTTGGGGCCATTCTGTAGCCATTTGGGGGCCAATTTGGAGCCACTTTGGGTCACTTTAGGGCCATTTTCGGGCCATTTTCAGGCCATTTGGGGGCCACTTTAGCACCACGTTGGGGCTATTTTAGAGTCATTTAGGGGCTATTTTGGGGCCACTTTAGCACCACTTTGGGGCTATTTTAGAGTCATTTAGGGGCTATTTTGGGGCCACTTTGGTGACGCTTTGGGGCCAATTTGGAGCCACTTTGGGTCATTTTAGGGCTATTTTCAGGCCATTTGGGGGGGCCACTTTAGGGCCATTTTGGGGAAACTTTGGGACCACTTTTAGGCCATTTTCAGGCCATTGGGGGGCCACTTTAGCACCACTTTGGGGCTATTTTAGAGTCATATGGGGCTATTTTGGGGCCACTTTGGTGACGCTTTGGGGCCAATTTGGAGCCACTTTGGGTCACTTTAGGGCCATTTTGGGGACACTTTAGGACAATTTTGGGGCCAATTTGGAGCCACTTTGGGTCACTTTAGGGCCATTTTGGTGACACTTTGGGACCATTTTGGGGACTCTTTAGATCCTCTTTGGTGACACTTTAGGGCTATTTTGGGGCCAATTTGGGACCATTTTATGGCCACTTTAGATCCTCTTTGGTGACACTTTAGGGCTA